CTATATATATATATATATATATACCAAAGGCACCTGCATACTTCGTTCAATGGTATTGTCGAGAGACCATGGTGTCGCGCTGGTGCATGAGTGCACTTCCGGTAACCCCCGCAGTTTGCCCGGGACAGGTGACGCTCCATTGTGTCGATAAAATATTGACACTCGATATTTCGCCTTATTCACTCAGGCTAGGCTAGAGAAAACGTTAGAATCTGTGTTTACATAGATGTCCACCTTTTTTTCCGTCGTCTCTAATCTACTCTCGCGAACGTGTTACTTTTAGTATCTTGCCATTAGTGGAACTTTATTCCGAAAGAAAAAGAGAAAAGACATCCCGTATCGCTGAATTTAACTATACATCCGTAACCTGCCGGATTTAATTTTCTGATTCGTAATATTCGAATTGACTGGATTCATTACTTTTGACTTAGGCGACATAAGCGAGCTGGATTCGTCTCCGTAACTATTTAATATTAGTATTTTTGTTATCCTTTCAGATTTCCCAGTGCTTTTTTTTCCAGTAAAAAAATTTCAAATTTTCTTTTTTCTTGGAAAAGAAGATAGTTAGAGCGCAATGACGTTGCGATTTTAAAATTATAAAATATTAAAAAGTTTTACATAATAAGATTGCTTTTTTGATCCTATTTCATCACATTCCCCAACACTTTTCTCTCAACAAGTTAATATTTTATGAATATAATATCGTGCTATTATAATGCGACATTATTATCGCATTAATTTATAAATAATCTGAGGAAATCGTATCATAATTCTTTTTGGATATAAATAAGTAGAAAAGAGACCAGCGAATAATACGAGAATTCTCTTTGGGAATATGTGTTTATTTCACTCACCGTTTTGTTCCCCAAATTTTTGACACGGCAGTTGAGGTACGTGGTCTTTCCCAGCAGGGCGGTCACGTTCTTCGAGGCCGATTTGTCGAAATACGGTCCCGATCGTGTGGCCTCCTCCAGAGCGTTCTGATTGTATGTGTCGCTGTTCTTGCCGCTGCCGCTGTATGGCATGTTGTGGCAGTGTACTTCTGAAACACGAGAAATCGAAAGAAACTGTGTAAATGTGGCAATTTCGATGCTGAACGAGAGAAGACATTCGTTCGCGGCGACGTATCTTAAAGCACTATACGTATTCTTTGTTTCCAATGTGTCGATTGTTCTTGCATGCTGAAAATCGAGAAGAGAATGAAAAAACGAATCTTCTTGTACAAGACCGACTGTAGTTGCTGCATTATCATTCAAGAAACAACGTTGCCATGTTCTGCGACAGAAAGTTGAAAAGCGAAGAGAAAGTTGAAAATTTAAAAAAAATTCGTGATATGAATGAAAATCGCTATGCACAGTCAATTTTTTTGTTACAGCATATTAGATTTTGTGTTATGTATTTTATTGTCTGAGAGAGAGAGAGAGAGAGAGAGAGAGAGAGGAGGTGAAATGTAATTTTTCTTAACGAATTTAAAGCGAATTTTTTACGAAAAAATTTTAATTATAGGGGAAAATAATTAAATAAAATAATAGCCAACATTACAATAAAAATAGATATGTAAATATAACGTTCGTTTATATGTAACAAAAAACACTTTGTGTACATCATAGAATGTAATTATGATATTAATAATAATGATAGTAATATTATCATTGCTTGCATGGGTAGTTACCATATTATGCTAAACTATTAATTATGCTCGTTAGAAAGCGGCTTGCAATGCGTTATGGTTTCTCATTAAAGAGCAAGAGTGCGAGAATGCGCAAATACGCAAATATAGTTAATAAAAAAGGGAGATTTTAATTAAATATGCACAGCTGTTGATACATAAAATTTAATTGGTTATGAAAAGAATTATCCATTTATCAGTCACAGATGTGCAAATTACATGACATTGCGGAAAGAAAGTTGAAATTAATGTCAGTTCTCCTTACTATACTTGACATTTATTATCGCAGAAATAACTTATTCTCATATCATTGATTTCTGTTTATCTTTGCGCCTCTCTCTCTTTCTCTCTCAGAAACAGAAAATAAAAAATTCTCTTCGTCATCATTTGTACTGCAGATGTTTTCATTGTAACGTTGCGATAATAGCACGCAATGGACAAAGGAAAATGGCACGTGCATCGCGTAATGCATTTCTTCTGCCAAAAGCTGGTTTTATTCGATTAGACTTTGCTGAATGCATCGCAATACTGAGACAATAAATGAGTTGTTGAGTAAAACAGCGATACAAGTAATTTTTTTCATTTCGGAAAATATTAGTAAAGTTTAGGAAAAATACGAATATTTTATTACGGTTTAAACTAATAAAAAAAAAGTATAATATAATATATTATAGAACCGTATACGTGATAACACAACCTATAGAAATCAAAGCTTTAAACAGTCTAGCTAGATTTTAAATGCTTGTATGATTCTTGTATGAATTTATATACTACGTATGTAGTCCTTAGAAACGCGTGCCGAAATAATTTTACGGTCTTGAAACGCTAACTCTACTAAACTACCGCAGTAATGTCACGAGTTAAATTGACTAGCAAATTTTTTATGCTTATTCACATCTTCGGAACGATCTTAATAATGTTGAATAACATATTAAAATCTGTAAATAATTAATTCTTATTGCGAAAAATGTTACCTCGGCCTGGAGTCTAACCTGGATCTCTTGCATTCCGTGCGAGCGTTCTAAACTTTTAGACTACCGAGGCCTTAATAGTATTCTTCGCAATAATTGGCATATGAAGGAACAACGTCTCTTTAGGCGACGTAAATAAATTAAAAAATGTGTAAAATTGTACGACATGTGAAATAGTTCAACGGCTAGGAAGTTTATATTAAGCTTCATTTTTGATATTCAATTGTATTACTCACTAACCGAGTGCTATCAAATGTATTAATTCGAAAAATAAATAAAGATAAAGAGAGTGCAGAGAGAGAAAATCGATCGATTAATGGCACAAATATTTATACTTATCTCGGATAAACCGAGTTAAGTGTTTTGAACTATGAGTAAGCTGGCAATAAACTTCTCGAAGCAAAGTATCATCGTCGCGGACACCCCGGAGAGTTACGAGAATTGTTTATCGGTTCAGCAACTTTCGCGTTGAATCGACGACAAGGAAATAATTTTCTCAAGACGATATCATCTAATTTTCGCAAGTTTAAGAACTTGTTTGTTTCAACCACATCGCGTTCACGGATGTCCACGTAGAAACAAATTAATCACGATGATTTGCGCAACGTGAATATCCTATGCACGAGATAGACGAGGTAGAATTTGTCGGAATTAAAAACGTAATTTGCAATTACCTTGCTCAGCCATGCGTACGCAGGATGAACCTGGTCGTTTCCCATCGCCGCGCCCGCGCCGCGCCGCGTTGTGCCACGCCGTCCCAAATTTGTCAAACTCGTTCAAACGGGTTTTAAACGAACCGAGGCGTTTGAAAAGTAACTAGCGCTACGAATTATCACGCTTTTGTGCGGGCGCAGTTCATTCATCTCAGCTGAGGTGATCGAGAGCACGGATATAATTGGCTGTCGCTGTTACGATCCCGAAAGGCCAACTATTGCTGGCTGCTGCAGTCGTTTCCGCCGGCGCCGAGCCTCGCCTCGCTATCATACGCTAGTTACGCTCTATTGCCAGAAACTCGGTGAGTATATAATCGAATTTCGTCGCTCTTGATTAGGCCGTGATTACACGAGGAGACGCGCTCGCGGCTGATGCGGCAAATATTGAATCTCGGCGCGGCAGCCGACGCGCATAATCCGTCCCGTTTTCTCTTACCAGCGACACTTTAGGCGCTTCCGAACGTCGCCAGTTATCCCCTCGAGTGGCTGGAGAACTTTATCCGCGACTTTCGTATCGCGAATTCTCCACGGCGTTACTCAACGTTAATCCGTTCTCTCCTCCAGTCCCCCGTTCCCTTTGCGCTTCTCCGCGCAATCAGCCCACCGTTAGATTATATTCACGCGAGAATGTCGCTCTGAACGTCCCATCGAACAAAGATACAAAATGAATTATAGGGAACAAAACTTTCCAGAAGCAATAATCAATTATACATAGCTAGTTAACAGCAGAAATATCAAATGCGAGCGAAAAGTACTTCCGAGTGAGTTTAAACGTATATAATGTTTTCTTTACTAGTGTGTTCAGTCGAACCTGTCATAATAATGATAAAACGAGCTTTCAAAGTTTCGCATTATATCTCTCAGAATAACAGGATACACAATTTTTAATTACAATAAAATTTATCACTTGGAGAAGTCATGTATTAATTTTAATACTATATGGTTAATACTAAACGTGGTTTCCAATCGCTACTTCTGTACTGATTTAAAAATTGCAATAAACTTCCTATTTTATTGCGCTATTATATACGCGATATTATGAATAATATTATCTTATATATATATACGTATATTATGAAACAGAGATACGCTGTATCGTGATTGCGGCGTATGTAACAAAACTTTGCTCGCAAGTGAGTCGCGACAAGTTTCTTTATTAAATTTAGCGAAAGGCTACGAGCAATTTCAACGGGTCTGTTTTATTTGGCGACAAGAAATTCGAGCTCTCACGAAAGGCTAGAATTGGCCAAGTTTGGAACGAACGGGTTACAAGAGCCAGCCATGCTTGTACAATGGGCTCAAGCTAATTTAATTATGAATCAACGCCATTGACCACCTTTCCACCTCGCAATCTGCTCCATTTCCTCAATTTCCTTTCCTTCCGTTCATACGGCCGTGACCAACATTTTGCTTTTAACTTAATTTAGAAAAGATGCAAACTCAATTTAAAAAGATGTGATATATCCTATCATTTTATAAGGGTACCATCTAATTTTCTTATATAATTTGAAACGCATTTCCACAATTGCAACTGAATTGAACAATTAAAAGCATTTTCATCTGCGAAAATAAATCATTTGTTGAAATTAACGGGGTAATACACAAAATAAATGAATCAAATAATGAAAAAGAGCTACAAGGAAAGGAGAACCGCAAGAGCAAGAAAATATAATGATCCGACATGGTATATTTCGAATCGCGCTATCGTTCCGTCTTGTTTCTTGCCTTTGTTTCTAGTCTACGGTTTCCATCTGTATCGTGTCGCCGACAAAAATGAGAATTTATCACGTCGACTCGTGAGAACGGGTGTAAATCCGCGTGTTTCCTCTTTGTGCTCAACGAACACGGTAACGCGCCGGTAGATATAGCAATAGCAGGTTTAATCGCGATACTTGTAGCGCGTTTATCTCACTCGATGGTCCATTAAATCCCATGGCTCTGGATAATATCGAGTTATGGCTGACGAGCCGCGGAATGCGCGCATCAGCGATTCCCTGGCGCATTTCGAATTACACGCTGGAATCGAGGTCGAGACGCGCTTCGTTTCGATTCGATGCTACCAGGGCGATCGCGTTCCTTCGTGACCTCGAATCAAGAGGCGCGGGAATAGCTTTTGCCTTTTGCGATGTTTCGCGAAGGACATATGTAGACACGCGAGGCCTGGTCTGGTGTAGTGGGTCGCGTCCTTGTAGCTAGATCCTCTCCTAAATTTCGAGATTTTACGGTCCGCGAAGTCGAAGCCACCTCGTAAAATATCTGCGGCGATGGAAAGTCGGACAGAATAAGGAGACACAACCCTGCTGGATAGAGCAAGAGGCGAGACATCGGGGACGAGATGTAGCGCCAGTAAGAGCTAGGCAAGAACAGGAGAAATAGAGAACCGTACAGTTATCTTTCAATCTACTCCGAAATCTATCCTTGTTCGGCGAGATCGCAAAGTAGATGTCGTCTCTCTCTCTCTCTCTCTCTCTCTCTCTCTCTCTCTCTCTCTCTCTATCGCTCTCCTGTTTTAAAATTCAGATTCACAACTTTTGCTTAAACGTCTAGTAGATAGACCGAAGACTACATTCCCACTTTTCAATTTTTAGTTCAAGCACAGTATATCTCCAGTCTCGCAAAACTCGCGCAAAAATATTCCAAAAATTCGCGAGTGTGTGAATTCAATCATTACTGTTATTATAAATTGCTG